GGTACAGGGGAAGAAAGCTTTGAAAACATAAGAAATGTATAGAAAGAGATCGCGTTGAATTACCATAAATAATAACTTCATAAAGATAGATAATTTCTAGTCCTTTGTAACAAACTAAGACAACGAAAATATGTATTGAAAAAAGTCGATTAGTTGGACAGAAGAAGAGGATGGATTCGTAATAGATTTAATTTTTTTCATATACTCTAATAATAATATTTTATTTCAGACATTAGTCCATAAATGTGTTAGTAACAGTCATCTTACAACTATATTAGTTCTACATTAGAACAAAAACAAATTACATAATAAATCGTGGGGATGCGCTATTATGCAGATGCATCCACCTTTGTAGGACTGGAAGGTCCTACCTCTCCTCTATGATAACTACTCCCTCAGAATTATTGTGTTATTATTGTAAGTATTTTGTGTTGTTGATTCTTGATTCTGAATTGCTGATCTTTTGTGCTATGAAAATGTGGTATTCTGATTGAAGAGGAAATGTGTAAATTGTGTAAATCATTATTAATAATAAAAAATGAATAGCGATTGAAGAATTAAACAATTTAACAGTGACAGCATCTGGATAATAAGATATTTATAACTGATATTAAAAAAAACACCGAGGGAAAAAAAGAAGAGAGATTTAGACCGTAAAATAATTATGACTGATCCATCTGACTGATCTATCTCAATAAGTCCTACATTTCATTCAGAACTCATCATAATATTCTCTTAGAGGTCCGTAATCGAAATCAAATCCCCTTTGCTGGAGCATCATATTGGAAAACCTTTTCGCGAATAATTGAGCTCCAAAGGTCATGAGCTTATTAGTAGGTATGTTAGACCTATGTATCAAAATCTCGAAAATAAACCTAAGCTTGATGGATCAAAGCTCGAAGGGTAAAAGTATTTATTAATCATTTCTCGAATGATCATAACGACGAATTAATAAGAAGTTAGGTACTATTTTTTAATTTAATGTTTAAGTTAGAGTAGAGAACTCTTTCGTAGAGATCTAGCGCATCAATCACGTGTTTATATGTAGCCAACACCATTCAAACGTACCCACACATCAAGAAAGATATCAGTATCTAAACTGTATTAAGGCCAGTGTGTTATATGAAGGGAGGAAAATCATATTATCCTATTGTGGGATATCTCAAAGAATTCATTTAACTTACGTGGCTGTAGTTAGTAATGACTTTTATGTATTCTGGGGTTTTTTTAATTTAAGATTATGCAAAAAATAATCATATTAACTGTAGCTGATTATATTGCCGTTATGTTTCCCAGATTACTTCAATCACAAGTCAACGCATCAAAGTAAAGCATCACCGTGTGCTGACGGATTCGGAGCACGAAGTGTCACCACCCCTATTCATCCCGTGGTTATCATAAGACCGGCTCAGGGAGCAAATTAAGCTGTAGGTACAGCAATACTGCAAAGAGAAGGAAACTTGAAACAAACCTATACTAAACCGTCTGGACAACGTGGGTTTGCTTTGTTTTAACTGCTGCCAAAACCCCCTTTCTAAGGAGAGGCCTATGTCAAGCAGTGGACTTTTTAAGGCTATAGATGATGATGATAATAAAACCTGGCAACAAGAAGAAACGCAGTCAATAGATGTGAAGCAGTATGTTTTATTTGTATGTCTTAATTCGACCACATTTTAAGACAACAATTAATGCGGTTTTAAAAATAGACTACCTCGAGGTACTCATTTATACAAATTGAATCATACTAACTCCTTAAAAAGTTTTAATTATGATTTCTTTGCCTTCTAATTTTCGGGGCTTACATAGGATCCTACCAATGCTGGACAGTTGTGAAACGTTGACCAGCTTTACCAACTTACCTATAATAATATTAGATTTCATTAAAACATATATTACACCTTAACTATGTACTCATTTCGTCCGTCAGGGCTCAACGTTCACATTGTGTTAGCCTAAACTAGCCTAAAAAAAAAGGAGGAAGAGGACAGGAACAGTAGCATGATCCGTATTACTTGTCGTGAGAAATGCCTCGAGATATATCAGTTTATTCAAGCGGGTTTTAAGATTTATAGCAGAGTTATTGTCATGACTACTAAAAGGTACGGAAAGAGAATTACACATGGCCTTTAGCCCAAAATATGTACACAGTAAGTAGTATCTCAATTCAGCTGCAAAATTAAAAGCAATAAGTTTTATTACAATGTAAACTATATTCAGATATATGCATTAGGGCACATTCCAAGAACGGATGTGTACACAATACTCCTGAGTGGGCTTAATTCAATTATATGGCTATTGTCAGCAAAGTTTTTGCTCTCGAACATTTTACACGCACACAATAGAGTTATTTTGCCAACAATAACTGTATTCGACAGACAGGCTCGTCGACATTCGGACACGATGACCAGACAATCTGCGTGCAATTGCAGAGGTTTAACTTATTCCAAAACATTTTCTTTTTGTAATTTTATATTATTAATACTAGTAACTGTGCAGATTGAAATAAAGGAAACTTTCAAAAACATTTTAACAAAAGTTAAGGTAAATATGTAAAATACGTTTGATTAAATAACATCAGTGTAATCAATACAACAATCAATCTAAAACCAATACTATTTGAGATTATAAAGTTTTATGTTCTTTGTTTTAGCTGCTTAAGTTTTTAGCTGCAAAGTGATTAAACACTTATAAACCCAAATAAAACATAAGATTTGTCAGAGAAACTTAAGTACTTTTCATGTTTTATTATGACGGATTTTACAAAAAAAAAAATAGCAGGAATATTAAGTATAGGTAACTGTTTTTTGCATTACTTTTCCATAAAAGAAAAAGCTTTTATTCCTGAATAATGGCTTATTGTATTTTATTACAATGTGCGGCGAAGATTATAGTAGTACGTGTATGATCAGTATGACTCTTTAAGTAGAACTCTTTGTAGTGCATAAACACTTATTAAATTTTAATACTCTACCTTGAAACAGATATATATCCTCTTTTCTGTGTGTGTGTGTGATATTTTTAATTACCGATCTCCGGTTTCAATCACCGATACCGACTATTTTCTGCATGAGGCATGAGTGTAAAATGTAAGTACGAGTCGAAATGTTGCTTACTATACTTTTTTACTGATAAAAAATATTGGTTATTAATTTAGTTACAATCTCAATTTTAAGTAACATCAGATACTTCGAAATTTATTAATACTTCTGCCGTTCAACTGCATATTGTCAATGCTCGATATTTTTTCAACATTCAAAACTAACTGTTCACGAAACACGAATTGTATTTGTGTGAAGTGTTTATAATGTCCTGTTCCAGATACCATCTTAATCTCGGATTAGCGAGGTGTTGGAGGGCTTTGTTAACTTGTCTGTTAAGTGATGGTGCCACCAATGAAGGACAATAGCCATTGAGTGGTCAAGTTACTCCCACGCGTGACAATAGTGTAATCTTTTACTATAACCTATCCGGTCTAATTGTAATGTGGGCCTCACAATAATTCTAAAAGATATTTTTGTTTCCATACAGTGATGAAAGTCGAGTAACTTTAGAATGTTTTAACGAACGAAAAAAAACAAGGAGGTTCTCAATTTATTTTTTTGTTTATGTTTATTAGCTGACAACTCTACCGATTGTGACCGACTTGGAAAAGTTTTTTTTTGGGAGGTTATACTTCCTATTTGGTCCGATTTAAGGGTCAACAAGGGAAGGAAAATTAAAGATTGAATTAAATATATAAATATATTACATGATCTAAACTGACCTGGCAAACGTTGTTCCACCATCTCAATTATCAAAGAAGTCAAGTTGCGATTAAAAAAGCGGGGTGGGGGTAGGAGAGTGAAAAATATTTCATGAGCTATTCTTATACCTGCCAAATATACAGCAAAATATCATTAAAATCGGTGGAGCCGCACAAACACCGTGACACGAGTTATTTGTATATTTTTTCTTTTTGTTATTTGATCTATTGAAACTCAGTTTTTTGAGCTTAGTTATTTTAAACGTTAGGAATATTGAAATTTTTAAATTATTAAAATAGTATGAATGATCAGTCAGAGTTTTTTAAATTAGGAATTTTGGACAATTCGGCATTATGAAAACCGGTATTTTGAAATTCGTATTTGTGACTGTCGGAATAAAGTTTTTCGTATTATGTAGTGTATTAGCCGGCATATACTAAAAGTTGCAGAATAATGAACCTTTATATATTTTGTAATGTACTTTTTATTAATTAAGTAATTAAAAATATTTGTTTCATATTACATATATATAAATAAATATATGAAAGTACCTTTTTAATTTTTGTATTATTACGTTTTAAATAAGTATCTACACATTTTTTCACGATAATTTAGTAGAAAAAAAACGATGACTTGATTTTTTTATCGTCAATTTCCGATTGTGGCACTAAACTTTTTAAGAATTTCAAAAAGTACCAACCCACGTAATGTCAGTTTAGTCTCTAGGATTATGAAACAGGCTATGGGTGTGGACGTTTTAACATGATTTTTAACTTCATAGCACATTTTACCTCAAAAGTTGTGCATTTTTCTATAAATAAACATTAAGTATTCCATATATGATATATAACTTTCCATCACCATATTTCTTATAAAATGGGGTAAAAACAAATTTCTTCTCGTAGTATTACATTACAGTAGTTTATATAGATTTTAAGTTTAATATTTTCTACTTCCAAATAATTTTCTGAGTGAAATGATATTTAATGACCTTGACATACAATGACAATGTTTTTACATAATTTGTCAAAAATGACAAATATTCTTTAGAAATCTGTTTACTTACGTACTTTTTATTTATTGAAAATATAGTATACATTTGTTATTGTAGGCTTTTTGAAATACTTTTTAATCCTTTTTCTATCAAATGTATATACTATATTATACCAAGCTATATTTATATGATTCATAGATAAAAACGTTATCAACTGTGAAAAAGTTAATTAATAATTGAAATAACAACAGTTCCCTCAGACAATGTTTAAATTCAAAGGTTATGAAGAATGTTTTATATGTTTACTGTCCTTTATGATCTTCTACGTGATCTGGAGCATTTTTCAGTCCAACGGTGATATCACGCCCGAAACACAAACAAAAAATATACTTATTTGGAATGAAAATCAGTTTCTGAGACACCTATATGAACAATACCCAATTTCCAAACTGCAATGTCAGTCTAACAACTGTCTTATAACAGAAAAAAAATATTATTTCTTTAGTGATTACCAAAGGTTCGATGCAATTATTTTTAGCTTTCCACCACATCCCTACCCATATAATTTAGCAACACTTGACGTACCAGATAACCGCTCAAAGTCTCAAGTCTATATTTTCTTTACAATCGAATCTGCTTTCAATGTACCAGCGTGCGAACTGTACTTCGATGACTTCTTCAACTGGACATTCACATCAAGACTAGATTCGGACATAGTGTGGAAATACTTTGTCGTACAAAACATTACAGGACATGAAGTTGCACCGAGTGTAAATGTTAACTGGGAAGTTAGCAATGAACCTGTTAGCTCTAAAGTAAAAATGAATTGGGAACACAGAACCAAAGCGGCCGCTTGGTTAGTCAGCAACTGTGAGTCTGACAACTTCAGGAACGTTTACGTAACAAAGCTCCAGGAGAATTTAATTCACTTTTCTCTCAAAATCGATGTTTACGGACATTGTAATAATGTAGAATGTCCCAATGAAGACTGTGATAGTATGTTGTCAAGAGAGTATTATTTTTATCTGGCATTTGAGAATTCCTTCTCAGACGATTACGTCACAGAGAAAGTACTCCACGGGTATAATAATTATGTGGTGCCTATTGTGTTCGGCTCCTCTAATTATACTAGGTAAGCTATAACTAGAACTGATTTTAGATATTCTACCCATTAGTGTTAATACCACAACGTACAATACTTAAAAAAAATTAAGATGTACGGTTTTCTCCAATTGTGTATTTCGGGGATGATCAACTAGTTTACAGGGGTCCTTTATCAAGGAGTAAGCATCCCGCGACTGGTTCAGGTGACGCGTAGGCGCCCGAAAGTGTGTAAATCCGTATTCTTTTAATAAATATTAATACTCAAGAAAGTTTTTATTCTTAGTAATTATTTGTCTTATAATATTCTTACTAGTCAAAGAACCAGTAACATCTAGAAAAGATACGGCTCTACCTTCAGCGTAGCGTATAAAATGCAGCGTTTATAGTCTGTAAAAGAAGAAGAAGGAGAAAAGAGCAAAATCGATCTAAGTGGCGTGCAATGGGAGAGGCCTATGTCCAGCAGTGGACTGCAATAGGCTGATGATGATGATAGTCTGTATTCTTTGTACTACAAATGTTACATATGTAGATTACAGTAATATGTTTATGAATTTCAGGTTTTTACCTCCTGGTTCGTACATAAATGCCCGTGAGTACCACCCATACCACTTAGCCTTTTTGATAAACGAAGCAATGACAGACCATTCAAAGTACGAAAAATATTTTACTTGGACTAATTCTTACACCATAGTAAGGAGTACCCCTAAATATAATGATTTGTGTAGTCTGTGTGACGCATTGAACAGCGAGAAAGCTAAACATGCACCTGTTTATAAGAACTTGAGGCTGTGGTGGAACAAACCGAGCGGTATGAAGTGGTGCTTATCAAATGAGTTCTTCAATGAAACAACGTTAGAAAACACCAATACCAACCATCTTTTCCAATTATACTGATAACAAATTACATCGTTTTATTTTCTTATAAAAGGTAATACCATTAGGTGTAGGTAATATGAGGTTTCTCAGTGTCGACGCTGGCATTGATTTGATACCAGAGTACCAGGGCTTTCCTTTCTAGGGTATATCTGGTTCCCCGGCTACTGGTACCTGGAGACGGCGTGCGGTTTTTGGTCGGTTGGAGTCCGACATAATCACCCACTAGTAAGTGATATCCGAGGGCGGAAAAAGGTATTTGGATATACATACTTATGCAGTTATTTTATGAATATTTTTTATTTTATTTGAAAAAAGACAACTCCCGCACTAGTAACTAGTGTCGCGGGGACTTTACAAACATACACGAAACGGACCCAAAAAACAACCAGACTCAGAACGACAATTTGTGAATCCCACAAAGTGTCGTCCAATTTGGGGATCGAAACTACAACACTCAGTTGAGGAAGCGGCGTGGCGACCGTTTAAGCCACAACGCCATCCGTGCAGTCAATTTTTTTTTTACTGTATAGACTTTCTGAATAGGTACAACTGACAGATTCTGAATAGAAGCAACTATCGCCGACAATGGACGCCTTTAAATTAACAAAATGATCGCCTGGTTAGAGGATAATTCCTTTGTGTTGGAGGGTCATGACACCTGTTCCTCCACAGTGTCACTAGTGCGTTGCCGGCCCTTCAATTACCCCCTCCCACTACTCCTGAATTAGGGGACCTCTAGTAATATCACTCACTCGTGAAAAAATGCTACGAATGAATAGCTCAATACTGGTTTCCAGTGAGACTGAAATATCACTTCGGTCCATCCAACCCATAAGTGCAAGCCTGGGTCATCCATGGTTAATAATTTCTTCTTACTTTCAACATAATCCCACCCTGATTGGAAAATCCTATATGGCGTTGTGCGACTTCTACCGTGACGCGTGATGTATTTGAATGCTCTTACTGCGACATTGCATAGAGTTGACTTTCATATTAGTTTCGATCCATACCGTAATCATGGTTAATTTTGTGCATTAAAAAACCGGCTAAATGTAAATACCGATACTGTTTCATATAAACAAGAGAGTTTAATGAAATCGTTCTGTAAATTGTAGTCCATCATTTGTTGCAATTTTCTTTGGCCACATTCAGTAGAAAACGTCCTTCTTATTTCACTGGTAGGTTGAATAAATTAGGTAGGTAGGCGTATGAATAAATTTGAAGACAGACAAATTTCAGTCAAACACTCGACGTCGCCACTCGATCTTCTACTTTCGTCATTAGAATCATCACAAATTATAATCTCATCCTTATAAACAATCTAGATTATATCTTTATTCAGTACTCTTCTGCAAAAATAATATTCAAACACTATCGCATCCCAAAGAAAAGCTCAGGAAAAACTAATCAAGTCTTTCTATGCCGCACGTATAAGTCTTCATTGAAAGCTGCGGATAGTTTTGTAATCCTCCCTCACAATAACAGGGCGTTATTAATTTCACATCGACAACAAAAGAGCATGTTGCTACAAATATCTACACAAAAGACGGCGAGTAATTAATGTTACGAGTCGTATTGGTTGAATTCAGTCGTTAGCCCCTGGGGAGGCGCAAATCGCCGCTCACAATACCGTAGTTAGGGAATGGGGGACTATCAGCAGACATTTAACGAGCAAATTATTTAGTAAATGTTGCTAAATAATAACATTAATGGGTATGCCTGGGGCAGGGAAGGGTGCAGCGAGCTTGGATGACTCTGATCTCAGTATTTATGGACTATACATGGACAATAACTTGGATTGTAAATTGTTGGGCATATGCAATATTGCTACGATAATTTATACAGACTTGTACAGCAGACGGGTCAACTGATGTTAGTAACTATTACTTAACACCGGTTTTCTGTAAGGAAATCACTCCGATCAAGCCGGCCTGTTGGGTTGAAATATTTCTAAGGTTGGTGGTTTTGTTTGTTCTAAATGGGCTATAAATTCCATATGGTCTGACGACCTGAAGAAGGCAGCTGACAAGGATTGGATGCAGAAAGCTGAGGGTTTAATTTAGGAGACGCCAATGTCAGCAGTGGACTGATACTAATATAAGCTAATTGATTGATTACCTTGTTCATATGCCATAACCTGATAGACTATTTAAGTGTATTTTTTTTTTAATTACATGACAATATTAGTATTTTATTACTATTTTACTTATTAACTCTAAATAAAAACAAACTTAACCTCACGTTCTGTCCCTAACTTGAATACAGTTTCAATACCTTATGTTGAAAATTATCTTACATATTTCGTCCTTTTATCTCTCAAAATTACATCACTCTAACAAAAGACACTGTCGATAAAATCTTAACAATCCAAATATTGATGTTAGAAGTAACCGCGGCATGCACAAAGACCAGCGGGGGCTCGTCCCCTCTCACCGGAGGGTGGCCAATGAGAGGCCCCGTCTTCACCAGTGCAAACAGCAGCGATCCTGAATGCCACATAATTGAGTGGCTACTCGACGCTCCGCTCATCCATTGTCCTTGCCATTATAGCAATTATGAGCTAAATGCTCACGAATTAATTACCATTTTATGGATATTTACGCGTGAAAGCATTTTAAGTGATTTCTTATTTCAAAGGTCACTTTTACCAGACTATTAAAAGAAATAAATCATTAATACTCACTCACATACTTTCGTACACTACTGATATGTTTTTATGTACTCGTATATATATATTTTATGTATAAGAACTTTTGTTTGTTTTATGTCGTAGATTTTTAAATACCTAGTTATTCTGTAAGAAAATATCTGCTCAAATCTTTTTTTTCTCTTTTTTTTAAGTTAGGGGAAGCCTTACGCTCCCAACTCTCTTTTATTATTATGTTTTCCGTGACAACCTAATAATTAAGGCAGCGCTAATGCTCGTATATATATTGGATGTATAAATAAAAAAAAAAATGCAAAAAAATGTTAGAAAAGCACAAAGCTCACTTAATAGCGACTCTTTTTGACACAAACACACACACTTATTATGGAAGACCCGTTTTTTGTAAGTCACCTGATTGCAGTACTGTAATTTGATTTTATTTTCTTTGTGCTGCAAATAAGATAAATAATATACATACATCAGGTAACCAAATAAAGTTATTGTGCCTTGTAATTAACTTCACAATTAAGTCCTTACTAACTAGTCATACATATTCTTTAATCAACAACAGCAATTCTTTTTAAATACTTGTAATAAGTACCTACCTGAATTATTTCTCTGGAGTATAGTAAAACAGTACCTTGTAATACAAAACAGACTCATTGATAGTGAACATAAAATTTTGACAACTATATTATTCCGTTTCTCCCGCAGTGCTAATTGTTGCAGCATTCGCTAAACATTTTCCAAACGAAACATATTAATGTATTCAAAGCACGAGTGACATTGTTTCGGCAACGTTTTAACCATGAAGTACATATTGTCCCCTACCAAAGTTTAACAAAGTTATCATACCGCATAGACTAGTTATATATATTTATTTGTCACGTAATGAAAATGGAAATGCCATTATTTTATAGGATATTAAGTAGTTATATAAATTAAATGTGGAAAAATTAAGTGACAAAGACAAAAAAGAAAAAAATATTATTATAAAGGACTCGTAACATACAACGAGAAAAGTTTTCAAAATTACTTTTACACGAGCTACTTGAGTACTTCATAAATGTAAGTTAGGCATGATAAAATGTTTGAGGTTTTCGTGTTGTTTCGTTTCATTTGGCGTCGTTAGTAAGTAAGTGCCGTCGTTTGGTTTGTTGATCAGTCAGTATCTTTTTTCACTTTTCTCAATTCTATGGAAATCTTAGAAATTTTCCCATATAATGTTATCTTAAGCGCGCGATAAGCACCTTACGCAATTCTTTGTTTGAAGATCAACCCGTAACGTCCAAGAACAGTAGCAGAACAGCACTTGCGGCTTCGAGAAAGAAAATGCCTTAATTCAATCACAAACCTCTGAGCGTGTATAACATCTTGCCTTTACATAGATCTGAACTCAAAGACACCGCCATCTGGTTTTAGTAGGTATTATTATCTACACGGATTATAGAACAACTTTCTTTTTTAAAAAGACATTAGGAAAATATCCTGTGTCGCGGGGGACTTTACAAACATACATGAAACGGACACAAAGAACACCCAGACTCGGAACAACAATTTGTGGATCACACAAAGTGTCGTCCCATGTGGGAACCCACAACACTCGGCGTAGTAGGAAGCGGCGTGGCGACCGCTTAAACCACTACGCCATCCGTGCAATCCAACCAATAACTGATAAACTTTTAAGATGATTTTGAATCTTTGAGAAGTTCTTGTCATTATGTTTATACACCTACAAAACAGGATCAGGCATGTAAATGACCGACAGATGACGGAATAACTCACATATTTTTAGTTTAGTGAAAAAAATATGCACGAAATTTAGACGGCATCTCTCTTTAAACAGTGTACGACACAAATAACCATCAAAACATCACAGATCCATGAGCAGTAAGCGGCGCAGTATACCCGCGGGAGTAGTCCACAGAGTCCCCGCAAACGGAATGGATAATTGAATCACCAGCGGAACGCGCCGCCTAATCGTAAAATTAGCAATACGATATGAATAAATAGATTTTGGTCTTGAGTCTCGAACAAAGAAGGTGCCGAGGGAATAAGTCGTAGGGGATGTGGGTGTTTAGCGAATCATTAGTTTTGCTAATGAAGGGTTGCGTAAAATATTCGAATGTCATTGCTATTGGGGTAGTACAATATTAAATTTTTGATGTATTGGTTTAGATTGTAAGTCGAGATTAATATTGTTATTTGTCTTGTAACCAATTGTTTCTTACACATGGCTACGGATACATCCACGATTAGGTAAGGGACTGGTGATTTCGCAGTCTGGAAATTATTTCGCAGCGATAGTCACCATGATGCGATCAGGACTGACGTAATTTTAACTCTTTGTACGTACCCTTCCGTTTGCGAAAACCTGAACATCACATAGATCGCCTGTCCGAAATCAAACAAAAGGCACGGTTGTCAATACTTATATACCTAAGATAAATTCCATTACTTATTAAGTTCGATTTGTTTTTTGAAGAAACACTAAAAAAAAAACTTATCAATTAAAGTGGGCGAAAGCTAAAATAAAAAGCTCCTTCCACGGAATGTACCTTAATCAAAATGCATACATACATGCACGAATACCTAAATTATAAGAAACTTAGAGACCAGCTGTGAAATTATAAGAATAGGTATATACAGAATCAAATCACAGAAGCAAATCACGCTTGAATACAGTTAAGACGAATGTAAGTTAGGTAATTTCTAACGTTTGATGATAACATATTTTATACAAAAAAAGTAAATCGATTAGATAGAACGGCCAGCCGGACTTTGTATAGATTTTGTACATCTTTTAATTATAAAGATTACATTGTATTACTCCGCGTTCATGTCTGACACCTGAAAATAAAAAGAGGTCCCAAAATTATTTATATACACTATAACACAAACAGAGAGTATCAGCTAACATTACCAACTACATAATACAATATGAAATAACGCGAGTTACGTAAACAGATAGCAATCTGATCTCATTGTTGCATCTACGTCAATTATAACAGAGATACATTGAGCGGAACAGAGATACGCCAATTAGGCCAGACGCAGGAAGCTGGCGCGCGTGCGCACACCCTAATTGTTTCCGACGGAGTCTTACCCTCCCCCTTCTTTACTCCTCCACTCCCCCATACCACCCCGCCTCTCTGAAGCTCCGGGCGATAACAAGGAAAGCGTAAAGCTGGTCTAGAACTGCAATATTTTGTGTACCTACCTTTAAATTTGATTCCTATATTTTCCAATTATGTAGATACGTTGAAAAAATAAAACTTTTTATAAAGATAGCTTTTATTATACTTTCTGATTTACTCTCACGATGTTCTGTTTTCACACGAGAGTTTCGATAACATGTCGAGTCCTTAGAATAGATAGATAGATATTTTTCTAAATAGAAAGTAAGCGTCTTATTTTGCAGGACGTCAGTTATAGTTAGTATTAAAACAGCGTTTGCGATAAAAAAATAGTTAATTAAAATAAATTACTACTGTGCTTACAGTTACTTGTTTTTACCAGTTCTTAAAGTTAATCACACAACCTATCCATTAAATTTCCCTATTTCTTCTTTATGGTTATAAATTACATAGGTACATACATAGGTATTTTAATTTACACAATAATCATTTGAGAACCTAAACATTACAAGTTTTATTTTCGTCCATCTTCAACCTTTGAATTGATTTGATTTAGTCACGTAATAAAATCCAGTTCAGCTGCCAAAAATAAAAAAAAAGAATATTTTTTTACAATAAAAGTTACTATTTCTATTCAGCCATAACAATCTCATTCAATCATTCATCGTTCAAACGCTTATCATATCGGTGCTGCCCACACAAAATATCAACATTTTTGCGAATGCAACTTGACACTTGGGTCATCCGGAAGCAATCGGGCACAACTGCACAATAGGTAAAATGTTCATTGTGAGAGGCACGTGTGCTGGCGCGTGTCCGCGATTTGTTCACTGTGACGAATTAACCATTACTCTATTATGACTTGAGCGACTTACGCTTTTTAGGCATCAATTGATTTTTACTTGGAAACTAGCTCTATTTTTTTATTTCTTTAGAGATAATGAAACTGCTTTTTATGTACCTAACATAACTTTTGCATGATTTTCCTCTCTTCTGGAATTATTTTTACAAATAACTTGTAAAAATAATTTTGCACGGTTTTTCTTAGAATCTACTTGCAGAATGGCAAGTACTAATGGGTCAGAGTTTATTATTAACGATTAATTGGAAAGAATAGCAACGAAACTTTAATTTGGTACTAAACTAAACATGTATTGAATGTGGGTGGCGGTTAGAGACTAAGCTTTGAGGTATAGAGAAGTGGACTGTCAACAAATGTAATTAAAGTATATAATCCAACAATAATATCGGGTACCTAATAACTTAAACAGAATTTTTAATTAAGCTTAATGCATCTTAAACTGTTATACATACATAGACATGATATTATTTCGCTTCTCGTATACATTTACGTATATACTCGGATAAACTTTATGTCAACCTTTTTATTGACTAATATATCGAGAAATACTCAATATCTGTTTTCTAACCAGTTGTTCCATAATACTGATTGATCGTCTGTATTCTATAATCGCTAGTAGAATTCGTAGTTTTGACGAATTATATTGAACAAAAGTTAATACTCTGCTTAATCCGATATTATAAGCTAAGCTGAGTATTAAAACAGTACTCATTATCATAATATTTTTGGAAAACAACCCTTTCTATGTTCGTAATTACAGTGGTATACCTCTCTAAGGAATTAGAACATTCGGTGTAATATCCGTCCTAGCATAAACTCTGGAGGGTTTAGGGGGTGAAGTTTGGTACGAGAGGGGGTAGCGGGTGTAATGGAAGGGAAGATAATAGTTCATCATCCGATAATAGCGGGATTAACACGATACAACCCTTTGTGGGCGGACAGTAAAACTTTACCAAAATGTTTGTCCGCACTGATTAATATTTATTTATTTACTACATTAAATATTCGTACAGTGAATTCATTATAGCGTTGGTTATCGCTGTTGTAATAAAATAAAAACTTAAAACGATTAAACTTTGATTTTTATATTTATTAACTTAATGTTTACTCAAGATTTGACTTGCTTTTTTTTATGTAAGAGGGGGCAGACGAGCAGACGGGTCACCTGATGGAAAGTGACCATCGCCGCCCATGAACGTCTGCAACTCAGGAGTCACAAACGCCTTGCCACTGACTTCTTAATAAAATAAGAAACGACTTAAAACTAACCTGCTGGTAGAGAACCTAAAGTTTATTTTGCCAATTCTAACTGGCTGATTCTAACTGATCTGAGTATTTCGATGATTCAAACAAAGAAATGAACAGTCTTTCTAAAGTATTTTTCCAAAAACCCCTTACGTCAGTTTATAATAGGATATGCGGGTTACAAAATACAATATTCACATCACACACAAAAACCCCCTCGCTTTCTACTAACAACTACCTTTACTCTGTAGCTCCGTCAATTTATATTTGCCTGCAATCATTAAAGTAGGCGTCGACATGTTCTGCTGTTTTGCAATAAAACAACCAGATATCTATGAACTCCACGCACTCCGCGGCCTGTAATCCATAGGACGACAGAGGGGGCCTTCGTACGCTTCTTACAGTGCTCCATGTGTTAGCGTCGGAGTAAACTAGCCGAATGAATAGGTGTCAGAAGCAATGCGTCAGAGCGGCCCCGGGGGCACCGCGGACGTGCCGCGTAACCGGACCCACTCGCATCATAATGCTACATAATTCAATTGATTCCCCGACACTACCCGCACGCTTCCTTCTAACTTCGTTACGAACGTTTTGATATCGGATACGCCGTGTTGACGCCTCCTTGTACAATTCTTTCCCCACTGACCCTCGGTGAAAAAATAAAAGTAGCGAAATTCAATTGACTACATTGTATTTAACAAAATAAATAATTTTAACAATTTTGCACCTTTTACTTAATGTTGGTAAGAAACTGCTGGGGAAGAGAAGGTTACGTGTCCAAGGTTCTGGGAATATGCTACTTTAGCGGCAGGGGCAGCAGCGTAGGCCAACTTGGCGACAGGGGCGTGAGCGTAGGCAACTGGAGCGGGCGCATAGGATACTGGAGCTGATGCATGGGCGTAGGTGACCTGACCTGGCGCCTGAGCATAAGCCGCAGGAGCGTATGCTAGTTTAGCGACAGGGGCTGAAGCATACGCAATCTTGGCAACGGGTGCAGGAGCGTACGCGATCTTGGCAACGGGCGCAGGGGCGTAGGCGATTTTGGCTACTGGGGCTTGTGCGTAGACGTGGCTGGCAACCTTGGCAGGGGCGGAATGGACGGGTGTTCCCTCGTAGCGGACGACGGCATTGAATCCATGCTCCTTGTCAGAGGTGTATTCAACAATACGGTGAACACCATCGGGCTGGACTAGTGAGTAAGAGCCATGGACGGCGTCACCGGCACGTTCCTCCTGTTGCTGCTTTATATCACCACTTTGGTCGTCGTGGACAGAGTAGGAGTACTGATAGTGGGCAGGTGCTTCGGGTTCAGAGTACACAACCTTGCCGACGGGGGCCTGGGCATAAGCGAATTGAGCAGGTGCATGAGCATACGAGATTGGAGCCGGACCAACTGGAACAGCAACAGCGGCGGCGGCAGCCACGAGGCCGAAGAAAGTCAGGAACTGGAAAATAAAAATGGTTTTTATTCATTGGTCTTAATTAATTTTTTCTTTATCGAGTCGATTTAGTTAATTAAATTATTATTAAGATCCAAATGATTATAACGTTTACAACTCACTTTGGCAACCATGTTGACTGGATTGTTAATTGTTGACGAATGTACCGTAGCTCTGCGATCAGGGCTTTTTATAGTAAACTAGTTACGCATACGCATATGTTGTATACATGACATCATGTATAAACCGATGTACAAACACGTGTACTTGGACATACACGATGCCCGCCGGCGCACGCGCCGAAACTGGATCGGTAGCGGTTTTGGTTATGTAATTCATCTCAAGATCATTCGTTTTGTTTGTAAATTGCCACAGATTTATTTCGGCTTTACAGTTATATTTTTTGATCATAACTTAATGAAGACTTTCGCTTAAAGGAGTTACTGCCACTACAGGAAACATGTACAGCATGAAGTAAAAAGAGAAAAACATATTTGGAATTTATAAAAGTAGTTGCTGTAACAAGAATTATATTAAAGAGAACAGTGCTGAGATCCACAACAACTGCATCAAAAAACAACTGTTTTTAATTATTGAAAAAAGGAATATTTCTGCCATATATGACTAATCTGCATCGACTAACCTATTTAGGAACAAGAACTAACTGATTTATAGTTAGTACTGTAAATTACACTAAAATTATAAAGGTGCAAGTTTATGAGCGTGTTTGTTACTTCGTCACACGGCTGGACCAATTGTGATAAAATTTGGTATGGAGGTAGCTGAAAACCTGGATTAACAAGACAAAGGCTATCTGTAATTTATCCCTAAAAATGTAGTGTTCCCGTGGGATAAGCGGGTACCTCGGGTAACACCACGGGGCACAGCTAGTTTAGTCTACTTCAGCTTGCTCGCCTTCCTCTCCATATCTCATCTGAATTTGAGTTTATTTTATGCAAGTGCTTAAAGCACCGCAATGCTGTGTGTAGGTATGTTACGCATATGCTCTGGTGGTATTTATATTTGTATAATTATGATTATCCACCTTCCTAGTTACATTAAGATGGGCCTGTGCATGATTAAGCATTGTAATATGTCGAAGCTGAGCTCAAGTGAGGAAGTTTCGATTTTCTACGTCCTAATTTGCGTTACTCTTGATGTATAATGATGTAAATTCTTTCATATTTTTACCCGACGATAGTATGTTTGTTTGTAATTTTTTTTATTACCTTCAAATCTTGAAAAATAGTATTATCCAAATGGCTTGACGGATTTCGACAGTTTAATAGGTAGGTATTGTATACCTACAATAATTGTATGCTAGGTATTGTTTTAAACGTCTCAAAAACTCAAGTGTCCTTAATAGTTTAAAAAAAAACAGTGACGAATTTTCGGTTAATTTAAAAAAACTAAGTATATCGAGTAAGGTATCAAAATCAATAAAATAAAAAGAGGATTACAAAAATACATACATGTTATATATTTAAATTTAATAAGGAATAAAAAGTTGGTTTTATAAAGTTTTGAAAGCGTAAAAATGGGCCATGTTTGTGACAGAACTCATACTGTTTTCGTATCGTCTCTCTCGTATATTACTTACCTACTTTTAAATTGTCTTTTCGCAGTCGGGTTTTTTTATTTTTTTTTATTGTTACTTGTTTCTTTTCTATTTCTCCTTGGTTTATTGAATGATGTTCATAATTAACTTAAAAAAATATATAATTGATTTCAATGCGTCCACATGGTGTTTAACTGCAATAAACCGTATTTTTCATTCTTAATTTTCATCCTTATAGAATAATGGGATAAGGGGAAGTAGCCTTTGTAATAGAAAAATAATTTTACCTCAGTAACAAACATAAGAAATCGGTTTAAACTGCAAGCTTTTTATTACAGGAATACAATTTCATGAAGATGCGATGACCGTTCAAACAGCAGTAGCCACAAAATGATAATAAGGTTTACGACTGCAGTGCAGTATTGAACTAAGAAGTGATTACCTGCCTGATTATGGAGGACGGAGGTCGTTCTGCGACCTCCGGCGCCTGAGTCTCTCCCGGTCCCGCTCCGCCGTCTCTTTCGCGAGCATAACTTGCTCGCAGAAGGAGACGGCAGAGTTCCACGCACTCTCGCTCCGCACGATAGCCGCAATCAGGCTATCGAGCGAGAGAACTCCCACTCCGATGGCCGCCACAAGGTCTCGCCTCTGCTCAACCCACGCCGGGCACTCTGCCAGCGTGTGGAGAGCCGTGTCCACGGTCTGGCCATCGCAGTGGTGGCACTCAGGCGTTGGCTCCTTGCGGAACAGACACAGGTGATCCCCGAAACATCCCTTCCCAGTGATCACCTGCGTCAATCGGTATGAGAGGGTCCCGTGACGCCTCTCGAGCCAATCCTCCATAACGGGTCTTACCGCCGCGATGACGGCGTGCCCGGCGCTCGGTTGCCCGAGTCGTTCCTTCCTCCATAAGCGCAGGCCTGGGGGTGACAGGTGAGGCCATCTGTCACCCTAGCAGAAGCAGGCCGGGGTGGCGGCGAGCGCGTTGCGAAGCGCGCTCGCTTCCAGGGAGCACAGGAAACATGGGGTTCCCGCACGGGGGGGGGGGGGGTCGTCTACTCGTCTGTAGATGACCCGAGGTATGTCGGGGCACCAGGGACCTCCTTTCTAGGGTATACCTGGTTCCCCGGCTATTAGTATCCGAGACGGCGTGCGGGTTTAGTCGGTTCGAGTCCGACATGCCACCGACAGGTGGTATCCGAGAGGATTTCCGCACGGAAAAAAAAAGGGGTATTAGACATGTTGGGGTACCAAAGATTTTAGCGTTTTATAATAATATGTCTCTAAAAAAATTGATTACTTTTAGTTTGATGTAAGTGTTGATATGATGAAATGACTTGAAAAATCCATCAATTTATTGTTTAGAGTAAATTATATCTACAGTTCAATAATAAGGAACAATTAAGTTTACAGATACGAAGCATACTATAAACGCTTACAGCCGTATTTGTGGTCATTATTAGGTATTGTGTAAAGAAAACAATTAGTCGCTGATATACACCACATCTATATCAAGCTCACCCCGGAACAAAGTAACAACCTTGTCAATATTTCGGTAGAATGTGTTCAAAAGACGGCCAAAGTAAAAATAACATTTAAATTACGAGTATCAGCGTACGGCCATTAACCGCAAAAGGAACACTGATTCACCTTGCCATTAATGTCGATAGGTACAGAATATTTTAAGGCTTTATAATGTCATTGAATTGAAGTAAATTACAAATACTTGTCAAGTTTCCCACGTATAATTAATAGTTACGGTACTTCGAAATGTGCTTTAAGTGTGATTTGAATATAATTTATTTTGGTTCCGTCCAAAACTCTTTTAGTTATATGCTACTCAAATCAAATGTTAGTTTTAATCTGAATCTAAATGGAACAATCTAAATGATTTATAGGTACTATATTTATAATATAATTTTACATAGACATACTTCAAAACTACCAGAGCGTCTAAAGTGACTCTCTGACCTGACTCTCTTCTTGATAATTCAAAATGTAATTTTCTTATCCATTTTCAAAAGCTTACGAACTTATTCCAACGGTGTTTATAACAAGTGTTTTTAAATTAATTTCAGATTACAGTGCTCGACATTATGAGTTAAAGTGATACTTATTCGTAAAATATTATTAAAATTTTATGTTGTCAGTTTTCTAGCTGACGGAACCCTAAAAAGCACATCTGTTGGTAGTATAACAGGTTGTGCTGCGTAATTACCGATACGTTATTACTCAGTAGTGAGTGCTCCATTTTTTTTCAAATTGCTAAACATACTATTGATTTACATAATGTAGCTTAAGTAATGTTATTGATGTCTTTGTTACACGTTGTCTGCAATTCTTTGTATTTTATAAAGCTCTAAGTGTTACAGTTTGTATGGCTTTCGAATACATATAACTATTTATGTATGCAGTGAAATAAATAATTAAAATAAGTGTTTAGATATTTATAACGTTGATTCGAGCAAGTAAATTTTTCTTTTAGAAATGAACATACCTGTTTACGTATATTTAGTAAACTTCTTTTCATTCACTAAGCAGATTAACTAGCCAGACGTGCTTAGGATAAACGAGTTGTCATGTCGATTTAATTTTGTGCTGGTGAATTGTATCGTGATTTTTGTTGAAATGACTAAATTTGTATTAATTACCAACCCGTCTGGCCAGCGTGGAATAGTAGGCCAAAACCTCCAAAGGAGAGGCCTATGTCCAGCGGTGGACTATTCTAGGCTGTAATTGATGTTGCAGTTATCAAGAAGTCTTCAAGAAAATGTTATTGTTTTCTTTCATTATATCAATAAATCATTATGTTATTAACCGTTCACCTTCTTACACATTTAATCCATACTTATCCATACTTCCATATTTATTTTTGTTTGTTTGTTACGCCTTCATCGTCTTCTTCTTCATCCTTCATCATCATCAGCATCATTCACGACTAAAGCACTAAACCGATTTTAAAAATGATTACACCAATGGAAAGTTACATTATCAGCGAGTAACATAGGCGACTTTTTACAGCGAAAACACACATCCACGCGGGCGGAGCCGCAGGCAAAAGCTAGTAGGAAATGATTGAGAGCAGGCATCTCTACATACGCATACAGAGACAGTTTGTGAACAATAACTAAGTAGGTAGACGCGCTAACTTACACACAATTTTTTATGGGATTGGAGGGCCAACGATCCGACGCGTCAAATGATGGTAAGTGACGACTGCAACTCAATAGTCACAAGTGCGTTGCCAACCGTAAAATATTTAAGTCAAACTATGAATATTTTATATTAGTAGTAGTACCGCAGAACTTACATACAAACTGCGTATTAACCTACAGTTTATTATACCTACTTTGTAAGAAATATTTGATTTTGACTGCTTGCCTATAACTGTGATTGATAGTTAATGATGATTCACGTCCAAATGTAACATGACGTCAGGGTGTGTCTCAATGTCTTTTAATCATGCCACTTGAAACTTTCTAAAAGATCATCATCATCATCAACAGCTTTTACTAGTCCACTGCTGAACATAGGTCTCTCCTTAGAAAGGAGGTTTTGGCCTACCACGCTAGCCAG